TTTAGTCTTAAAAATCACAGAACTGTTCCAGTTATATTTACCAATCTTGAAAAAATAAATTTAAATTTTTAATACTTTTTTTTAAATGAAAAGGAACTGTAGTCATTACTTTCAGCTTCTTTGGACGTAACTTTTACCTTTTTTATGGTCTGATTTTTAAATCTTTGCAAATATTAGAATACTGAAGGATTTTTTTTCCTCTAAGGATTTCTCCGTTATGGCTTTGTGTGACCAGATATGACCAAATGCTGAAGTGTATTCAGTATGGCAAGTACTTTACTTATATTGTCACATTTTATGCTTCCAACACCTGAGTTGAGTACTATTAATCTTTTTGTTGTTGTTTTTTGGGGGGAAGAGGTACCGGAGATGCAACTCGGGTCCTTCCGCTTGTGGGGCAGGCGACGGAACCACTGAGCTAAATCCCTGGCCCTTGTTGTTATTGTTTTTTTTTTTTTTTTTTTTTGGTACCAGGTATCGAACTTTGATCCTTGCGCTTGCGAGGCAGGTGGCGGAACCACTGAGCTAAATCCCCGGCCCCCCTTGCTGTTATTGTTAATGTGGCAGCATTTTCACTTTCCGTTGAACAATATCTCGTTTGGTTTTTGTTGTCTTATACCCCTGTGCCCCAGACCCTCACACATGGCTTTGCCAGTTACTTGGTACTCTAGCAGTTTGCATCTGTTGCCATGGGAAAAGTTCGTTCTAATAGCCTTTTACAGCCATACATGTGGACTGATGTCATATTAACTTCTCCATTGTGATGTGGGTCATTGAGATCCTTTCTACTCTCTGTTTTGGTGGAAGATAGACTATTTCTCATATGGCAACAGAGATTCTCTTGTACAGAAAATAATTATAATTCAGTTTCAACATCACTCTGAGGGGAGAAAGAAACTAACATTTAAATATAATTTGATTTTGAACAGTTGGAGAAAATACTTTAGTTTTGTTCTGCATTTGTAGATTTCCCTGTGTATTTTTTCTTGTTGTTTACAAACAATTATACATATATTAATAATTTTATCTTCAGATATTTTCATTAGTTTTTGCTACCTACTGCTTTCCCATAATGTTTGACTTAACATTTAATCAGGAAATTCTGTTACATTTTTATGAATTTTTATGTACAGTAAAATGTATCTGTTTTAGTATAAACTTATGTGAGGTGTATGTGGATTTTTTGTGGTGCTGGGTGTTAAACCCAGGGCCTCAAGCATTCTAGACAGGTGCTCTACCACTGAACTACATTGCTGGGCCAAAATTCTTTGAATTTCAATGAACACATACAGTGTGTAACCACAGGTAAGCTAACCCAAGTTCCACCCCAACCCAGGACATTCCTTTGTCTGCTTTTTAGTCAGCCTCTCTTCCTACCCTCCTCTGACAGCAACTGACCCTTTCTCTTGTGGTTTTGTCACATACTGTGGCACATTCTTTTTATTACTGAGTAGTATTCCATTGTTTGTGTCTATGCCACAATTTAGTCATCCTTTTTTTTTTTTTTTTTTTTAGTCATCCTTTCTTCATTTAAAGTTTGGGTTATTTCCAGTTTTTGGCAATTATGAATGAAACTACTGTACATATTCACTTAAAAGTTTTTATGTTTTCATTTTTCTTGGGTTGGTATCTAGGAGTGGGATCACTTGGTGGTATGGTGTGTGTTCGACCTAATAAGTAACTGCCAGAATTTTCCAAAATGGTTATGGCATTTTGCATTCCTACCAGTAATGAATGAGTCCATGTTGTTCTGTATCCTTGCCAGTACTTGATATTGTCAGAATTTGTTGTTGTTTAGCCATTCTTATAGGTGTATAGTGGTATCTTATTATGGTTTTAATTTGTATTTCCTAATGATTAATGGTATCGAACATATTGTCATGTGTTTATTTGCCATCTTTGATGAAATGTCTGTCTTGAATACCTCCATATGCTTACATATGCTAAGCAGCCATTCTGCAACTACGCTACACCCTCAATCTCTTTCCCAACTTTTGATTGGATTATTATCTAATTGTTATACAAATATTAAAAAATATACATATCTATATCTTATGTAAGTCCTTTATGAGAAAAATGTTTTATCCTTGTCTGTATTTTATCTTTTCACTCTCAACATTATCTCCCCCCCCCCCCCCCCGCCCCGGTACTGGGGATCAAACTCTGGACCTTGTGCCTTCAAGGCAGGCAGTGGAACCACTGAGCTAAATCCCTGGCCCTCAACATTATCTTTTGATAATCAAATGTTTTACAATTAAAGTCCAGTTGATCACTTTTTAAATTACAGATCATGCTTTTGGTGTTGTAATAAAGAAATCTTTGTTTAACCTAAGATCACGGAAATTTTATACCTTTTATTTTAGAAATTTTTAGCTCTGTGATCCATTTTAGCTCTGTGATTCATTTAACTTTGCATGTCGTACAATATATGAATCATATATGTAGTTTGTTGTGTTTGCATGTGGGAGTCAGTTGTTACAGCATCATTTAAAAAAAAGGATTGTTCTTCCTTGAGTTGTGTTTGGACCTTCTTTGAAAGTTTTTCTCTCACTACCATCCCCTTTTGCTCTCTGTCACATTGCTCTCCTTCATAACATGTGTACCCTTTGTTTTCTTAACTACCTCTCCTTACTCCAGGATAAGCTCCTTGAGATGGGAGCCTTTCAGTGGTCAAAGGATGTGTAATTCACCTTTCTTGTTACTATAACAATATACCCAAGACAATTAACTTACAATAAGAAAAGATTCATTTTGGCTCACAGTTTTAGAATTCTAGTCCATGGTTAATAACCCCACTGCTCTTGGGCCCCTGGCAAAGTAGCACATCATGGCCAGGAGTGAGTGGCAGAGCAGAGCTACTCATTTCATGGGGGCCAGAAATCAAAAGAGTGAGACTAATGCCCCACCTTCCCCTTTTAGGGCATACCCAGAATGACCTATGACCTCCCATCAGGCCCCAACTCTTAAAGGCTCTACCACCACTCAACAATACCAAGTCGAACAGCAAGCCTCTAACTTATGGGCCATGGAGAACATTCCACATCTAAAGTATAGCAACTCTTAAACATCAAAAGGCCTTAATTATGGCATGAAAGCACAGTATGTAAATGAATAGGAATGGTACTCTCTCCTGCCTGAGAAATACTTCCTTCACTTGGCTTCCAGGACTCCATATGTTCCTGGATTTCATTCACCCCTTTTGGCTATTTCTTCTTGGTTTCTTGGGGTTACTGTTTCTCAGTTTTTCAGCATTTAAATGTTAGAGTCCCCCATGGCTCAATTCTGTTATTCCTGACCTTTAAACCCTTACTTCCTGAATAATTTCATCACACAGCACTTAGCGTTGGTCATATATCAATGATTTCAAAATTTCTACCTCCAGTCCTCTCTGTGCTCTTGACTTTATCACACTAACTACTTAGTATCTTCACTTTGATGTTTAGTGGCCATCTTCACTGTAACATGTTTCAAAGTAAACTCCTGATCTTCCCCAATCCTTCTCTTCCATTTCAATTCCAGTGAACCGAAGCTCTACCTTACCCATTGCTTAGGCCAAAAACTTTGGAACTATTTTCCTTATTTTTTCTCACATTCCACATTGAACCTTCACCAAGTCCTATTGGTTCAGCCTTGAAATAGATCCAGATTTAGACCACGTCTTAACTTCTCCCATGGCTAAGAAGCTGCCATGATCTCTTGTGGATTAATGAAATAACCTCTTAACTGATACTGTTTCTGCTTGTCATTTTTTCAGTCTACTCTAAACATAATGGCTATAGTGGATATTTTAAAAATAGTTCATGTCCCTCTAATGCTAAAATGTTTCACAGACAATTCCTTACAAGAAGCCATGAGAGCCTCATCTGGTCTGGCATTCTGTTCCTTCTTGACGGCTCTCTTTCCCATCTAGCCACCCACTGTATTCCAGCTGCCCTAGTTTCCTTCCTGCTCCTCATACTCATCAGGCACACACCTACCTTTGGGTTTCTACTCCATCTTCTCTGTTCCTTTGACCCCTTCAGGTCTTTGCTGAACTGTCACCTTCCACTGAGACCTTCCTTAACCACCCTGCTCAAAATGGCACCTGTCTCCTTGCCCAAGCCAGCTCCACCCTTCCTATTCCCTTTCCCTTTTCTTTATTGTGTTTATCATTCTCTTTCATAGCATATGTGTTATTTTTTTATCTGTTTTCCCCTAGTGTAATAGAGTAGGCCATGAGAGTCTTAAACTCAGTACATAGTCCCTCCTTCTCTATGGTTTCATTTTCCAGGGTTTTGGTTACCCATAGGCAGCACAGTCCAAAAATATTAAAGGAAACATTCCAGAAATAAAGAATTCATGTTTTAAATTGCACACCATCTTGAATAGCATTATGAAGTCTAGTGCTGTCTTGTCTTGCCCAAGACAAGAATCATCTGTTTTTCCAGTGTAAATTGGATGTATATGGTATCCACCTTTTGGACACTTGGTAGCTATCTGGGTTATCAGATTGACTGTCAAGGTGCTTGTGTTCAAGCAACCCTTGTTTTAATCATGGCCCTAAAGTGCAAGAGTAGTGATGCTGGCAATTCAGATGTGTCAAAGAAAAACTGCAAACTGCTTCTTTTAGGTAAAAAGGTAAATGTTCTAGACTAAATAAGGGTAGGAAAATTCGTATGCTGAGGTTGCAGATATCTATGGTAGAAATAAATTTTCTACCATAAAACTGTGAAGAAGGAAAAAGAAATTTGTGTGACTTTTGCTTTTGTACCTCAAACTGCAAAAGTGAAGCCATAGTGCATGCATGTAAGTGCTTAGTTGAGATTAAAAAAAGGCATTGCTATATAGGGTTTAGTACTTTTCATGCATAGTTTTAACTCATCCTCTGGGGGTCTTGGGAAATACCCCCTCATACCATAAGGGAGGACTACTGTATTTCCAAAACTGCATCAAACTCATGCTGACTCATCCTCTATTTTCTTTCCTGTTTCACAGTAACATCTATCCTGTGACCTTAGTTTAAGATAACTGGAGTCACTCATGAAGTCATTCCAAGGAACAAGGGACCCAGCAGCCCCCTGTGGCCTCTGCAGCCTCACTTCTGCTGTCCTTTCACTTCAACAGAAGCTTCTTCAGGCTTGTATGATAGTTCATTGCAGCTTCCAAACCCTACCACACTTGCATCTTTTGCACATGCTGATTCTGCTACCTTCTGCTGAGAAAATTCCCACTTCGCCTTCAGATCTAAGCTCAGCCTTTTCTTTTCAGTGCCTTCTGTGCAGAATTCTTTGTACCCTGAGTATCTCCTCCACTTTTTTTGTTGTTCTACATAGGTTTCCTTTGTGTGTACTACATTGCAAGAATGTTTACTTAGCTTTGATCCATGATGCCTGGGGTCTGTTATTCTGTCCTTAAAATGTGAGGCTTTCTAGTACATACTATGTTCACTTACAGAGTAGATGAAAAGTGTGTGTTGGTTGACTTCCCACAGGTCCATCAGTATTCTTTTTTTCCATATTTCTTATCACTTTTAAGTTCTTTTAATGTGTAGTTGTTTCTTCTGCTTTCTTTTTTCTTAGAGCTCCTCTCACATTTGCTTTTCTTGGGCTTAGCAAATGACTCCATAAATATCGTTGGCTTTTCTATTATCTTGCCTGCATGAAGCATGTGCCTTCTCCACAGAGTCAGTCCTCTACTTTTCATTTCAGTAAGCCTGGAGATTTGGTTCCCTAGAATCTTCCCACATCCACAAGATACAATTTTTCGGTGTCTTTCCTTAATCCACTGTGTCTGTGAGTGCAGTTTTTGTGACTCTGTCTTCATTCTTCATCATATCACATATTTGTCATTGTTTCTTGCTCAAAGGTATAGTCTTTTTTTTTTTTTTGGTACTGGGGATCAAACTCAGGACCTTGCACTTGCAAGGCAGGCATGGTGCCACTGAGCTAAATCCCCAGCCCTCAAAGGTATAAAGTCCAGTTAGTACCACAAAAAGTACTTTTTTAGGGACTCTATTCAGAGCCTTAAATTAGGTTTGCTGGGTGGGATAGCAGGACATCCCATGCTCAGTGTCACTTCCTGACATAACACATTATTGCTAATACCTGATTATGTGTGTCTGCTGTAAGTATTGTACCACACATCTGATTGCTGAGGCTGTATTAGTACACTTGCCAACCACAGGACTTCAGTGGCAATTAAACTTTCCATAATTACTGGTAAGAAAGTGGCTTTTAGTTTTTAATCTAATGATAGGATGCAATTAGACTTTTCAGAATATGGTTGTTATGGCTTGTGTTTAGATGTCCCCCCACATTCTCATGTGGATGAGGTGAGGTTTTCTTTTTCAGAGGTGGCTGAATCTAGAGTGTGTGATGCTGTGATTAATAAACCAGTACATGTGAGTGATTGGTTTGGCACTGCCCTAATCCCGGTAGTCTGGATAAGATAAAAGGGGCAGAAAGACACAGTTAAGGTCTCTTGTTGCTTTTGCTGTCTTCTGCCGCCATAAACTGTTTCCCCTCTGCCACCCTGCCTTGGAGCTAATTGATTATGGACTGTACCCTTTAACTATGGGTGTCAGGCATTTTGTCCCAGCAATGAGAAAAAAGTAACTAACACAACAGTTTAGTGGACAATTGTGTTGGTAAGAAAAATTTCCTTAGAAAAAAGAAGATAGGTTTTATATGAATTCATCATTAAGGTTTAATTAGTGACTAACTGTAAGCAGATGATGTGATAGGTCAGGAAGTGACACCAAGCATGGAATGTTCTGCTGTCCCACCCAGTGTACCTAATACACAGCTCTGGAAAGAGCCCCTAACTATTTTCTGTGGTACTAACTAGACTCTTAAGTGGACACCTCTGATATACTCACTGTGCTCCTCATGTGTTGTCCTAATCTATTCCTCTTAACCTCTTTCATTCCTTTGCAACCTGAGACTAGTGAATCCGTTGTTTCCCACCAAATTAAATTCTTGTAGTTGCTGTTTACTTTCTCTAGATAAGGAATTCTTCTTCCCTTCTAGTGCTCAGAGATTTTTTTTTCCTACCTAACATGCCTCATCTGATGTTATTTCTTTCCTGAATTCAATGATATTGCTTACCTTGGAAACTGCCCTTGCCTTCAACAGCCTCCTCCAAATATCTGTATCCATCAGTGTTCGTTTCCAGTGGCTCTCACTTCTTTTCTGTCCTACATAGAAGAAGTTTGTGACCCATTGCTTATGTGCCACATGGTAACCGGGCATGCAGCGGATTTTCAGTATAGCAGTGAATGGAAAGCTTAAGATGAAGCATATGCATTGTTTAAAAAATAAGTTGGGTATGGTGGTATACCCTGCACTCCTAGAACTCCAGAGGCTGAGGCAGAAGGATCATGAGTTCAGGACCAGCCTGGGCTGTTTAGCAAGTTCAAGGTCAGCCTGGACTACATAGTGAGACTGTCTCAACAGATCTAAATAAATAAATAAATACATACATACATACATAAATAAATAAATAAAAACTTAGGCCAATTCTGATATGCTTTGTATGTCTGTGCTTTTCAGATTGTGAAAACACAACCAGTACCTCTGTTTGTCATAGAACTTTTGCTGCAGAGTCACTTCACATTGAAAGAATGTTTTATGTTAGCTACTAAGGATTTGAGAATGCTCAGTGATGTAGTGTTAGGTCACAAGGTCAGCCAAGCTTATTCTATCTAATGTCTCAGATGATGATTGTTGTTAGCATTCTGTGTCCAGCAGTGGTGGGTATTAGTGTGTGTATGAAAGAGAGAGATGGTGTGCAAGAGCACAGCAGTAAGCTTCTTCCTTTTGTCACACGTGAGTGAAGCTATTTGTTGCAGCACAGTTCACTGTAATCATAGACAAGGACACTGTCTCAGTAGAGAGAGCATCGAGAGCATCCTTGTGTACCATACTGTAGTGTACAGAATAGGGTACTATACCATGGAAAGAATGAGATAGGTCTACATCATTATATGGGTCTCCAGGGGAGATTGAGAAACAAACAAACTCACAGAGCAAAGCAATCAGCTGCTACCATTATATTCATGAAGAAACACTTCATATATACACATGCATAGATTTGTGCAATATTTTTGGAAGGATGTGTGAGATGGTAGTGTCCTCCCAGGAAGAGACCTGAAGTGGATGGGAATTGTCAATGGAAAGGGAACTCATTTTGCACTGTGTTCTCCTTGACAATGTTTGCATTTTTAAAAATACCACATCCATATTAAACCGCCCGCCTTCCTCTCCTCCCCTCCCCACCCTTTCTTTCCCTCCCGTTTCCCTCCCTTTCTTCCCTTCCCTTCGCCTTCCTTCTTTCCTTTCTTTTTTTTCCTTCTCCTTATCATTCTTTTTTTCTTTCTTTAATGCTGGGGATCTATCTAAGGGCTTGCACATGATAGCCAAATGCTCTATACTGAGCTACACCCCCAGCTCCTTTTTACACAAATATGCTCCTTTTTTGGGGGGGGGGTACTGGGGATTGAACTTGGGTCCTTGCACTTGCGCAGCAGGCAATGAAACCACTGAGCTAAATCCCCGGCCCTTATGTGTCCTTTTTTTATTATCTCATGATGCATTGAAAAGTAGGATAGCAGTGCCTTGAAATTAGCATAGCTTCTCTTGTACCCTTCTTCCCTCATTCTCTATTGTTCTAGTCACTGTATGCATGTATGGTTTGCAGCTTTGGATAGAAACACCAGCTTTGCAGTCAAATTGAACCTGTGTCTATAGCCTACTATCTTGGATGATAACTCATTTTGTCTGACTCTTAATCGTCTCATCTAGGCTGTGGGAATAATAATATGTGTAACTCAGATGTGTTTAATAAGGATTAAATAAGGAAATGTACTATGAGTTAGCATAGTGATGGGCATATAATAGAAGTTCTGTAAATGATAATTATTTTTATGTTAATTGAATTATGTTAATATTAAGAATAACATAATTATTTTATGTTAATTAACTTGTTCAGATTTTTAAATCCCTAATTTTTCAGCTATTATTATAGTTGGACTATGCTTAACATTTTTGTTTCCCCTGGTATGCTTCAGTGAAACATGCCTAATTTTGGGTACCACCTTGACTCATAGAGTATTCAAGTCTTTTAAATAAAAGTAGCATTTATTGCCCTCCTCCTTGTAAATGGGAGTTTACTGATTTCTTACAGTGTGTGTGTGTGTGTGTGTGTGTGTGTGTCTGTGTGTGTAAGCATATTACTGTGTATGTTGAATATTATATTTTATTTACTTATGTAGCAAGATTGCCACAATTTCATCCATATTATGGATTTGGCAGGTCAAAAGTTGGTGATAATGATAATATTAGAATCCATTTCTAATCTGAATATATTGTATAAGTAAAGGTTTATGGCTAAGTTATCTGTTTTATTATGAAAGACTTTTCTTTTCTAGCTGTTTCAATCTCACATGGCATCAAAGATTGCATCTATGGACTCACAAGTATCCAGTAGTGAACAGAGAGTAAGTATGGCTTTTATGCAGATCATATATTTTTCTTTCATTGCCATGATTTCAAAATAACTCAGAGGATTTGCAGACTTTTGTAGAAAAGGGTTTGTTTAACTTTACCTTGAATGTGAATTAATTTTTCTGTTGATTCAAGTGAAACATCAATAGTATATTGTTGAATGTCCACAATATTCCTATTCTATTTGACATTAAGCAATCTTTTTCTCTTTCTTTTCTTGTCTTTTATTTTGGGGGGTCTGTTTTTGGCATTAAGCAGCATCCCATGGAAAGACTAGCACTATTTTTGCTGAGCACATTGCAAGCTGGGGAGGAGCAAAGAGCTGTGGGGTGTCAGAATGCAGGAAGCCGCCTGCTATGAGATTAGATCTGATGCTTCCAAAGTCCTTTTGAGTTTGCCTGTGTAGTAAGGATGGTTTTAGTAATTCATATCAAAAGTTATGTTTTAAAAGAGGATAAGTTTAACTTGATGAAAGATATGTTGTCAGTTAAAACAAAATTGCAAGCACAAGCATGATAATAAGATTGAATAATTTCTTTTAGTTTTGTGTTCCAATAATTATAGTTTCTTGTTTCTCCCTCTTCCTCCATACATGCCAGGGTCCCCACAGTTTTGATAAATCTGAACTTGACTAACAGACTGCCATCCTTTCCTGTCAATCATTAGTAATAACAATCTCTTCTATCTTTATTACCTTGCAGACTTTTTGAGTTACTCATCTCCCTCCTAACTCATTGCTTTGCCAAGACTAGTGTCAGTCACCTCTGTCTTTAGTGACAGATCCATGGAGTAGCTGTGGCTTAGTTTTCATTTGCTCTGACCCCTCTTCTGCATTATGTCATGGAGACCACACCTCCATTTTTTAAATGCTTCTTTTGGTACTGTGACATTAAAAACATGTAGTTGTACACAGGCAGGGAATTCTAGGGGTCATTTAGTTTAGCTTTCATGTAAAAAACTAGCAGATGTTCTTATTTTGAACATATTCATGCACTTTTTGTAAAAAATAATAACATCATGCTTACATGACTGAGAGAATCAGAGGGCATTAAAGAGAATGTAGTGTACCAACTTCGTGTTGCTGCACGACGCATTATTGTGAACTTAGCTGTTTTAAACAGTTGACTTTTTATTGTCTCCCAGTTATGCAGGTCAGAAAGTCGGGCATGGCCCATAGGTTCTCCTCTCATTATCATGCCCATGGTGTCAGCTGCCTGGCTTCTTATGTGGGTCTCCCTTTCCAGGCTCTTTCAGGTTATTGGCAGAATCCAGCTACTTGCAGACTTTGATATCATCAGCACTTAGAGACCATTTCTGGCCCCTTGTCTCGTGGCTGTCCCTCCTAGAAGCCAGCCAGGGCAAACTACCCTTGAGTTCCCTTCATGCTTCAGATCTTTTAGGCCTGGATATGCATAGGTCTGGTAAGGGCTCACTCTAGTAGGTCAGGACCACCCAGTTGGCCTCTCTTTCTCAGGTTCCTGAGTTCACATCTTAATCATATTTTCAATCTGTTCTCAGCTGCACTTAGATTTCTTTTTTATTCAGTAACTGAAATTGTTTGTGCACCAGGTGCCATCAGGTTTGGACCCTATCTCAGTTCTGCCTGCCTACTATATACAGTAAAAAGCAATTCTTCCTCACCTAAGCTCCAAGTCTACTGCCTAATGGTAACCACTCTCATTAGTTTGTCACTATCCTGTGAGATGTCTCATTCCATATTCATAGACTGTATTTGTAAGGATATATGCATATATGATTATGTACACACATTTACTTTTATTAGAATCATAGTAAATAAAGAACTGCTTGGATTCTTAGTTTTTGTTTTTGTTTTTTTTTTTGTACCGGGGATCAAACTCAGGTCCTTGCTCTTGCGCAGCAGGCGGCGAAACCACTGAGCTAAATCCTGGCCCTGGATTCTTAGTTTTTGAGATTCATACATATCTTGGCATGTGTCAGTAGTTTAATATTCCATCCTACAGGGTACTATAATTTGTTTTTCTACTTATTTATTAGCTATTTGTGTTGTTTACAGTTTTTTAAGGAATAAAATTGGTATGAACAAGTTCTTGTATGGTTAATGTTTCAGCTTACGTTGGGTACCTCTAAGTTGGACTTTTTCACTGTATAGCAGTGTGTTTAGCTTTGTAAGACGCTAACAGTTTTCTAAAGTTGCTGCACGTCACATATTTACACCAGTACATTTGTCAGCATTCCAGTTCTTCATTATCTTCACACTGTTAGCTTTTAAATTTTAGCCATTTTATTGCATGTTCACTGATATTTTATAGTTCCCATTCACATTTCTTTAGTGACTAATGTTTTTGTTTTATTTACTTTTAGTTTGTTTTTTTAATAGTGTACTATCTGTGTGTCCCATTTGCTTTTTCATTTTCTTCATTCCTGCCTTCTTTAGGATCAATACTTTTATCATTTGATTTTATTTCCACTATTTATTTACTAGCTATAGCTTTCTGTCTTTTAAAATAGTAGTTGATCATATTTAATGACTTTAAGTTCTCCATTTTATGAGTGTATATGCTGTAGTTTATTTGGACATTTTCCTGTTTTGGGAAACCAAACGTTTTAATGTTAGAATTGTGCTGGACTCTTGCTGCTTAAAGGAGACTAGGAATGTGTTTTGAGTGTCTAAATGAATTCTCACAAATTTACTTAATCACTTGTGTCCCAGGTAAGGGATAGTGAATCTCTAATTCCTTTCATAAATTATACTTATCTTTGCAAGTGCACCATGTCATGTTTCAGTCAAGTTATTTTAAATGTTGCTGTCATTTTTGTTTTCCTTCAGAAAAGAGAAACTATTCGTTCCTTGACTATGTGTGGCCATGTTGGTTTTGAGAGTTTGCCTGATCAGCTTGTCAGTAGATCCATTCAGCAAGGCTTCTGTTTCAACATTCTCTGTGTGGGTGAGTGCCAGCAACCCCTCCTGAGTGTTTCCCTCAAGGGCCTTGCATTCCCTTATTCTCTGTAGGAGTAATTTGATGCTCATGTTATCAATTTGAGATCATGGCCCCAGAGATTTTCTCAGTTGTTTAAATTCTGTTAGGTTTTCTTTTAAGCTTTAAATCTTTTATTTGTTTTGTAAACATTTAAATGCTCTTGAGTTCTGAATAACTTAGCATTTCTCTGGTCTGTTAATGATTTAAGAACAACCTTAGCATTAAAACAACCTGATATTTGAAATATTTGGAATCCTTCAAACTACTCTAGGAGTTTGCAGTTACAGTTCTTCTTAGTCACCCTATACACTTGTGAAGATGATGCCTTTGTTTCTTTCAGGAGAAACTGGAATTGGAAAATCAACACTGATTAATACATTGTTTAATACTAATTTTGAAGAACATGAATGCTCACATTTTTGCCCAGATGTTAAACTTAAAGCTCAGACATATGAACTCCAGGAAAGTAATGTACGGTTAAAATTGACCATTGTGAATACAGTGGGATTTGGTGACCAAATAAATAAAGAAGAAAGGTATGTGTTTTTTTCTTGTAATAAAATAAGATAAAATATAATAAAACAAGTTCTCTTATTTTAGGATCAAGTTATTTATTTGGCTTTTTGCCCTTTGAGATGTGGTCTGAATTCCTTAAGGTAATGCCTACCTTTCCTCCCAGACATTATTTTTAACAATTAAGCAGTGTTTTGTTCTTATTAACACATTGAAATTTTTGTGTCCAGTTGTCTAATTTCTTTGAAATAATTTTAATCATATTCAACTGTGTATTGTAGCAAAAAGTTTTAATTATTTTCTAATATTCATTATATATTCTGTGATCAGTACTGAATTCAGGCAGAATGAAAAAATAATACAAGATACAAGGACAAATATATGCAGTGTCCAAATACATGGTACATGAATTTTTTTTTGGCTAAATTCTGACTAAAATGTCCACTTATATTATTAAGCATTGTAGGAAAGTTTTGATAGTGAAATTTTAATTTATATTTTATCTTGTCATTATTTCTTTTCTATATTTCTCCTGTAGTATTATAAAGATTTTCATTTCTATATCAGATTTAAAGTATGAAAGAAAAGGGGAAATGGATTGGTGTAAAGTAGTAGCTTGGTTCTTTTTCCTTTTTGAAAGTATATATTTTCATTATTATAAGCAGTTTTATAGTGGGAAAATATTTTGCATAAATTGACTATGTGATATAAGACCATGGGTTTTTAGTACTGTGTTCTGCCTTAAATAATGAATAAATGATTTATTTACACCTTCTGGAAAGAACAGATTAGTGGAAGGGGCAAAGGCCTGTAAGACCTTACTTTAAATATTATTAGTACTTATAAGATGAATATCAACTTAGAGCTAATTAGTACATGCCAATGAAAATATTTTTAAGGGAACTTAAACATAGAGTCAGTATGCTTGACCTGCTGAGTAGATTTTATTGTATTGTGGAGTAACATCCATAATAGATGTAACTGGGTAAGTGTATCCTTAAAATAAATTTTAACTTGCTTTTCCCCATTAATTTATTTACTAGACTGTTTTCTGTCAGTTAACAAAGTAATATACAGAGATATTATGAGATGAAAATGCCACCTAGTTCAGACTACTTGGGATCCACTTTAGCTGTCCCCTCAGACCCAGGCTTATCTCTGTCCTCAGAGGAACCATTGCTGTGAGTTAGGCATTTTCCCAGACTTTTTCAGTTCTTATTGGGATTATAGGCATGTGCTACCATACCTGGCTTTAGATCTCACTGATCTTAGGTGTTTGTCTAATGAGTTTTGATAAATATATATTCTGTGACCACCAGCACACCTCTAACTTAGGAACTGGCCGTGACTATGATCCTGCAGGTCAGTGCCTGACCACAGCTTAAGGGGCCCATTCCAGATCTGCAAAGCTTTCCACCTATGCAGCTTCTTTCTCTCCAGTGTCCTGTCTACAGAGTCCAGCCATCCTTGTCCCCTGTAACTCATAAGTCCATCACGCTCTTATTGTCTCTCTTTGCACTCTGCCCAGGAAATTTTTCTTCACATTGGAAGCCAAAGAAATCATAGGGTTCCCCTCCTGCATTTCCCTTCTCAGTGATCACAGTTGTATAGGTCCTATTGGATTTTTCCAGGTATCTAGGATTAAGTCCAGTGCTAGGTATTCCATTATGGTGGACACAGGCTTCATTTTCCATTTTTTATGCTGGACTGTAGTGTGGAGGACTTCCATACTATGTTGAATAGTCTATTTTGATGGGAGTATCTTTGCCCTGTCCTCATCCCAAAGGTAAATCTTTACTTTTTCCATATATCATGCTTGCTTTGTTTTTAATTGTTTTTGGCTTTGGGTTTATTTAGGTAGAATAAGAAAATTCTTTTATTTTGCTAGCAAAAATTATATTTTTAAAAAACATATGAATAGACAAGTACTTTTTATGAGTTGTTTTTCTTTATGGAGACATTGTGGTTCCTTTTACTTTTGCTTGGTGCTCAGGGTCCAACCCAGCGCCTTGCACATGCTAATAACCATGGAGTATACCACTGAGCTATACCTCCAGTCCACTTATGATCTCATTTTTTTATCCTTTGTTTTACACATGTCTGTTGCATTCTGAATAATTAATTTTGATCTTTTTCCAGTTGTTAATTCTCTCTTTAACTTGGTCTAATCTACTCATTGCATTTCCCATTTCGGTTACTTTATTTTTCAAATCTGTGCATTCTGTGTGATTTATTGTCCTACTTGCAGGATCATTTTTTATTAGTTTCCTATTCCCAGTATCTATATTCAAGTTTTCATTTTATTTTATTATTATTAAAGGTGGATGCTTTATCATTTTGGTTATTTATTGTCCATTGTCATGTGCTTGGTTATTTTTTATTATAGCTCTCATGATCTTTGAAAATTATTTGCTAGGATACTTTGAGATCTAAGGTGAAGATGTCTGCCTTTGAACAAATTTAGATTTGCTTATGCTAGGACCTGGACATAGAGATCCCTAAAGAGATCTAGATACGGTAGATTCCAGACCTCCTTCATGGCTTGCAGTTCCCAGAATCAGAGGACTTACATGTACTATATGTGCAAGGCTGACACTGGCCACTAGCTCCAGGGGTGTGTTGTTTCTTTTCTTTCTTTTTTTTTTTCTTTCCTTTTCCTTACTTCATTTTATGCCAATGTTACTGGTTGGTTGCTCAGGTCCAGAACCTTGCCACTCCTCCAAAACACGTGGGACACTTTGTAAAAATGAAAAAAAGACTGTATTCAAAGTTTATCTTCATACTGCCTCAAATCACCATTTCCCTATGCAAGGGCCGTTCTAGCTGGGAAGAGAGTAAAGAGACAATACACTAAGACAACAGACAACTCCATGCCTGTCCCGTCTTGTGAGTCCTTGGGGAGAGAGGAGGTATTAACAGTTTTACATTATTTCTGGTTCATCCTTACCATGAAAGTGTAGGCTTTTGGGATCTTAGCTCACTATGGAGAGGGAGAATCCCATTTGTGTGGCTGTGGCCTTTGCTTTCTTCCTTCTTGCCCTGTTGGTCCTGTAGAAGAAAAGTCTTTTCACTAGAATGATAAATTATCTCAGGACAAAAGTAGAATTGGTGCTCTTTTTTTTTCCATTTAAAAAAAAATTTTATTGGTATATTTGAGGTATACAATATAATGACATTTATTATTGGAAATTTGCACCTTTACATAATCTCTCTTGGTTCTTATTTCCCCTGCCCTCCCTTCAATCCCTCCATCCCTCCCTATTTACAAAGACTTTGTTTCCATTTTTTCATTTTCTCATATTAATTCCATTCCCTTC